TCATGAGATGGGATACAAAAATCAAAAACTTCAAACAACTTTCTCTCTGAAAAGATTTTAAACTTAAGTAAACGTACAATTCTTCAAAAAGTCGTCCCGTTGTTCCGTTTTTTGTGCGCACGCGAGTTTTCAACACTCAAACGTTCATAACTTCCTTCACTTTCAACTTTTTGTAGATTTTCAAAGCAAATTGGAAACTAGAAGATTAGCGCTTCAGCACCGCTTCTCCTACCAAAGATGATTCCCCCAACAAATATTCCCGTTGTTCCGTTTTTTAGGGATTTGTGGTCCGATTGAGAGAGCGCGAGTTTTCGACATTCAAACGTTCATAACTTGCTTCATTATTAACTGTTAGAAATTTTCACAGCTAATTAGAAACTATAGGATTGACGCTTTTGAAAGAATACCAAAAATTTTCTAAATATCCACTCTTTTAAAAAATCGTCCCGTTGTTCCGTTTTCTTCCTCTATGACTTTTTTAGGCTTTTTCAAACGCGACTCTTCGATCTTCGGATCCCCATAATTTTCTTCAAATTTGGTAAGATGAGAAGCCGTAAAACCTGTGGAGTCTACATGAATAGTTCTTTATAACACGTGCGTAATTTTCCTTGAAATCGTTCTGACAGAATTTTCAATAGGTCTTTAGTAGTGAATCCAACGAATTCGTTGTACTTTCCTCCACTTAGATGGTTCCGAAAACATCAAGCTTTTTGTGAAGAAATCTCTCTACTAACGGCCGCTGACAGAGAAATTGTTTTGAAAAATTAAGGGACACACCGTGAACCTGTCAGCGATTAGCAGTCGTACTGGCTGAAGGTCCTCCCTTCCCTGGAGACGGTGAGAGTGTCGCGAATGTAGTTGTGTGTCATGATGATCCTGTTTCACTTGTTCCATTTGTGGGATATTATTATTGTTATTATTATTTTATTACTTCTTTGCAGCTTATATTTGATCACATTTCCTAACAATTAACTTTCTACATTGCATATCCCCTCCACTTCTCAGCAGCTGAGGATCGCTGTGCATCCCCCCTGCTGGTTTCTTCTTATACGATTCCCTCCCTTTCTTCAGGTCAAATACGACCCCCTCTTTGTTTCTTTGTTCTTCGCGCAACGGGAGGTTGGCCCTGCTTGTAAATGCCTCTTGCTCAGTTCTCGAGCGGAACAACGCACCAAATCCATCACTACTCATGACTTTGGAGTAGGCGCGGAGGATTTTCTAGTTTCCTCCTTCCTGGGATGTCAAACGCCACTACTTTTGAACAGTCCTAATAGCATGCTCGAGAAGTTGATTATTACCTCGAGAAACGACTATTCACAGCAACTTATGTCGTCGCGCTTCTATTGAATAACCTCTCGAAGTTTTTGCATGCTTTGTGGTTCCACTGTAGAATGCACATCGAATGCTGTGTGCACTTCTTGCTTCTAAATTCTCCAGCATCGAATGTTGAAGCTTAACTATGAAGAACAATCTCTTTTTGGGATGCGCCTGCATTCTGTTTCCATTGAGGATCGTAGTAGCATTTGAATACGGAGTGGGTTGCATAACAACATCAGGGGCATGTGAAAGTAAGTGTATTTATTCTTTTTTTTTCAGACCAGTCTAGTGCCAGTTACCTGACCCCAAAGTGATGGGAGGTTTGGTTGGTCCGAGCGATGCACAACCCGGGTGCCAATACACCTTATTCCGCGCTAACTGCTGATCCTGCTGAATCTAATTCTCATTAATTCCACAGTTCATAATTTATTATAATTTCATCAAATTGGACACGATTCTTGTGGTCAAATGAGCGGTCCTCCTTGGCCAAATTCTCGTCCTCGGGAGGTTTGCATTCCGCTCCGGTCCAACTCACTCTGACCAGCCAGTCGCCTTTCATCTATATTGCTCAAGGTCGAAGTTCAAGATTAGAAGGTAGCCCATTAGAATTGAGGTAAATCTGGTCAGTGGTTCCAGCTTATGGAGAAAAAGCAAGAAAGACAACTCAGACCGCGAGAAATTAGACCCTTCTTTGCCCTTTGATTTCCGAATTGATGCCATCTTATAGGTGCTGCCCTATTCAACGCTAGCGCTGTCTCTGCTAAACGGCTAGAGAAGTATGGGGGTGATTAGCCAGCCGGTGGGCGGGGCTGCGCTAGCGGTGCAGGGATTGCCATGCTAAATCGACAGGGCATAGTCTGTACCATATCCTTTACTGTTACTTGCATGTCGGTTCACACCCTAAAAGGGTCCCTCCCTCTTTCCATTGACCTGTTCTTTTTTTTTGAGCCACTTATTGTGAATCCTCCTTTAGCGATACATGTGCATTAAAGAGAATGGTCGTCAAAATATCAGGCTTTGAACATGGCTCAGAAAACCATGTCCTATGCCAAAGCAAACAACACACTTTTTTGCCCAGTGTAAGAGTTATTCAATAAATCCGCGCTATTTTCATAGCCGTTCATTTTATTTATTCGTTCTGCGTTTTGCTTCATTCTTCTTCGTGAATACGCCCAATTCGAAAGGTTGTCGTCACAAAACGTTTCTACGTTATGGTTTCAGGAGGATGCGTGGCGCATCACACAGCGCTGAGGCGGTTGTGCCTCCAGTCACGACGAGGCTACGCCGTCCAAAAACGAAGAGAATCTCAAAAAGGTGCGTCCTTTCGCCCAATTAGAATCATTTTGATCGGCCTAGTCTTCCGACTATGTTATACTTTTTACTGCTTATTGATTCCATTTGAATTAGCTCTGTACATTCTGCACAGAAACTCGTGGAAAATATGCTTTAGGACGAGAGATTGACGGTGAAAGTATGATTGGAATTATTGGCAATGGAAAAAACCTCTCCATCGATAAAGAGGCAATCCACAGAGTATTAGGCGTAAATGTATGTGACAAAAGATCATCAATAACGAATCACCACGCGATGTCGTGCGCACTTTTCGGGAACCGACAGGAAGCCCGTCGCGCTGCGAGAAGGCAGTGTAAGCAAACGAGTCACAGCGCGTACTATAGAATTTTTAAGTAGAAGTACCATTGTACGTCTACATGCACATCACACGCTGCGACTCGTCTGATGACTCTGCCTTCCTGGCACACGGCGCGCTTCTTGTCAGGTACCCCTACTTGTTCACGCCCCCTTGCGCGACAACGACATTGATCAGAAGGCCTCTCGAGGTGAAGTAGTAGCAGAAGTGGTTGTGGATGCTCATTGCTGTGGGCTCAAGTCAAACGCGTTTAATTATTCAATCTTGTTCGACCTGCTAATGGGAAATTACTGTAATGAAACGTTGCTGGATACCCTTTGATCTCTTTGTCTCTGCATTTTCCTATGGATATTTGTGTTTGATCTGTGTGTGGTGAATTCTTCAAACTGGGCCAAAAATAACCGTATGAAAGGTGAACTGTTGATTTGTTGATCTCACGTCAAGCACAAAGGCAGGATTTATTTCGATCAGAGGCAGCCAAATAGAAACTAAGCTAGGCTTTCTCTACTCAGTAATGCTTCCCGACTGACCTCAAGAAGATCGTTGGATCAGGGCCTTAATTCGGGAATGCTTCAGACGCACCCGCGACGAAATAGTACGAGTCTGTATGAGGACGGGAAAGAGTGAAAAGAGGTGTCGTCCAAATGATCAGCGCCTGCAGCACGCCACAATTGTGCGGGACTCCGCAAGGTGGCCTTTACTGTAAGCCAGGGAGGTGCAGAATCTGCTGCATGAACGCTATTCCGAATTCGGGTAGGTGAAGCGGTAACCTCCTTAGGGTTTCAATAACGACGGACCTTTTTAGACGTGATACTGTGACTAACTGATTTTATAATTTTGTGAAACCATTATAGCATAGAAAACTATTTTTTCCGATTATAACCAGTGTTGACTAACTGGTTGATATACGGTTTTCAGGTGATGGTGGCAAATGCGAGGAGATAGCTATCCGTGTATTCGAGCTCTTTCTGATTACGAATGACGTCTGTAGCAATTTATAGTGAACAGGTAGGATTTTGGGCACTTCTTGACATTTTTTTTGCAAAAATTGGGATTCCACTAACAAAGAAGGTCTTTCAGGTGTGCCAAGCTTCTGCAAAACGGTATTGCATGATATAGAGGCACATACGGGAACCACAGAACCATGGTTTTTTAATTTTCCTGAACGGCCCTCTGAATACTAGAAAAGGGGGTCCCTAGTCACACCTTCTTCACCACTTTTTCAATAAATGTCTATTTGTAATGATACTGAAATCCTAGTCATGATGTGGTACTAACCATCCATGCTCACTCCGTTTTGCGCGAATTTGGAACGTCAACACGAAATGCAAAAACATGTCACCACGAGGGATCGAACTAGGACCCCTTTCTGGTATTCAGAGAGCTGTTCAGGAGAAATGAACCAGGCTTTTGTGGTCCCCATATTGCCCCCAATGTCATCAAGAAACCATTTTGAAAAGCACGGCACACCCTGAACGACCTCCCTTGTGGGTGCACATGTTATGTGACAGGTCGTGCCGCCTGTAGTAATTCCAATTTTGTCCATGGAAGAAAACGCTACAGGGACTATTTTGCTTCGTGTACACCCGCTCAGGAGCTTCTTCACCTGCAAAATTTCATTCTGAAGCAGCGTGAAGTGTCGCACCACTGTTCCTCACCTCTCCCCTTCCCCCTATTGGAAAGGCTCCAGAATACTTATGTCGCCGTTTCCTAGACACGAGACTATATATCGTATAATTATTTTAAGGATAAGCATTCGATGCATCGATTGAAGCAGACGAAGGTTACTTAGTCGGTAAAGGACTCGCCTGTTGCGGCATATCTCCCTATAGATCCAATTATTGACACCACGCTCTACAGGTCCTTCTTTTCTCGGATTCACGAAAAAAAACTCAGCTAGAAAGCACAAATAGTTTTTGGCCAGCACAACGTGGATGCGATTCATCCTGGTTACGGTTTCTTATCCGAGCGAGCCGACTTCGCACGTGCTTGTATTCATGCGGGAATTTCATTCATTGGCCCAAGTCCGGATGTTATGGCACGCATGGGAGACAAGGTATCTTTCAACAATTACTAGCCACAGAAAATGCCTTGAGCTCCTGAAGATCATTTTCGTAAAGCATTTGAGTTCTTTTTCGAGTGATCGTTAAGACAAGTAATTCATTCACGTTTAGGTGGCAGCACGTCAGGCGGCTATTGAAGCTGGTGTGCAGGTAGTTCCTGGAACCCCAGGACCAATTACTACGGCGGAAGAAGCTGTCGAGTTCGCCAAGCAGTATGGAACTCCCATTATCTTGAAGGCTGCTTACGGTGGTGGAGGGCGCGGCATGCGCAGAGTTGACCACGTTGAAGAATTAAGTTTATAAGCTCAGCATAAGTAATGCCAAATTTTTCCTTATCAATCTATTAATCAGTTACCGTTGTTATTCGAAAAATCCCACGAAGAAGTAGTTCGACTGATTTATGATAGCAACTTCGCATATTGTGCAGTTCTTTTTAGGTTGAAGAGTCGTTCCGACGCGCTTTCTCCGAGGCGCAAGCCGCTTTCGGAGATGGATCGTTATTCGTGGAGAAGTTTGTGGAGCGACCTCGTCATATTGAAGTACAACTTTTAGGTTTGTCGAGAAGATTTTGATCGCTCTCATTCATTGAAAGTCTTCACGAGACAAAGTTGAAGCGGCGTTCCTATCCTTGTCTTCTATTGGCGTCTTTTCCGCCATCCAATCCTATCCACGGCTCGATTTCTGACGGAAGGAGGATGCATCACTTTTCAAACCTTTGCTGATATGTCGAACTTTCCCTTATATCGTTTATATCATTTGAAACCAAACAAATAGTGCAGCAGTAGAGTACACTGATTATCAGTTCCAATGGGTGTCTCCCAATCGCACTCACTGGAAAAAATTTGCTCTGATGGAAAAACCATTAAGGAACCTCCATTTAATGGTGGGCTTTACAAAAACTTAAGAAAAAACACGCGCCATGCATGTTGTAGAGCCCTTGTGGGGTCCTATGGCTTGTAGGACCTGCCACATTCTTTTGCCCGAAGTAATTTCCGCCGTGCTCTTGACTGCCAGTTTCTTTCAACCTTGTCTTCGCTTTTCATCTCAAATTGATGAGGCTTTTCTCATCTAAAACTGTTGCATTTCCACGCGTGTGACATCCTTCCCTCTGCAGTTATTGGGTTGAGGAATCGGGTAAACCACTTCATCCTCTGCTCTTCGAGTACCCTCTACTCCTCAGATATTTCACATCTGGATCAATCATATTTCTCACCTTCTTTCGCCAGCTTTTGTATGAGTCTTTCTTCTTCGTTTCAGAACAACCCTGCCCTTTATCCCCTCCCGAATCAACAAGTGCTCCCTTTTGCACATCATGATGAGCTCTCGGTCATATTGCTGCAGCTTTGCTGGACTGTTCTGGGAGGGTGTGGGAGTTCAGGTCGCAGTACACCTCTTTCAGGGTGCAACTCCAGATCGGTGGGTAAGGCACTCCATTGTTTCTCCAGTAATCAAGATAAGGATGGGAGCGCTCATTACACGTTATCGACTCATTTAAAGTATACTCCTGAGAAGTATCGGTGTAAACTGGAAGAATCCCTGCGATGCTTTCACATTTTCGCCTGCCATGGTCCAAAGAAAGGATCCTGGACCAGGAAAATGGACACCTCTGCCTAGGCATAAGGGTGGAGGAGCTCCAGAGTGGATGACCTCAGAAAACTGGATAGGACCTGGGCGGGAAGAATGGAATTCAGGGCATCCAGCGGTCTTTATCAGAAGTACGCTTGGAATGAGTCGTTTACTTATTATCTGATAAAGTGTTGGATAGCTCGAAGGAGTGCTATCTAAAACTACGGATAAGGTAGTAAGATGTGCTTCCCAAACTGGAGTTTCACCCTCCTTCAGGATTGCTCTTCTCCGCTCGCTGCAGCTTCCACTATCGAATTTTCTCTGCTGCTATTACCCTGGCTTTTCCTAGATAGGAGGAGAGGGGATGGGAGCGGTGCAATTACTTACCTCCGTGACATTTTCTGCAGTGAGCGGCCCGCCGTGAGGTTTTCACGCGAAAGCGAGTCTTCCATGGTTTAGAGAGACGACCTTCCAAGGAGCTCGTGATGGATTTCGAACTGCTTTCTTTTCCTTCTCTAGCTTAGCATCTTGCCAATTCTTTCTCCGAATAGCGCTGCAACGTGCTGATTCGTAAACTGCAACCGGGGAAAGACTCTGCTTTTGGCGTTTCTTACTGCTATATCTCTGCTTCTGTGTACTCTTTGTAAGCTTCAACATCTGCGATCGTGGCCATTCAATCCATCAGCTATGATGGGCAGGGATCCTCGAGTAACTATTCTACAGACTACTTCTGGCTGTCCTACTAGCTCCACTGCCATAATTTTGTGGCTTTTAATAAGACAATGATCTGATTTCTTTATCGATCGCCTGTTGTGGTACTATAATAGTACCATTTTTCATTTTTTGCGCGGCACAGTTTGGCCTCGACGGCGTCAAACTTGTAGCCGCCATACGTTTAAGCATGAGCCTGCGCTTCTAATCACTTGGCTCTTCTTCTTCCTTTTCATTACATGTGCATAGCTCTGTATGTGGAAAAACAGAACTGAACCTCTTCCTTAGCCATGCATGCAAATGCAAACTTCTTCCTCGATTTTTTTTGAACTTTTTTATTGTTTAGGAGACAATCATGGAAATCTTGTCCACCTGTACGAGCGAGACTGTTCTGTGCAACGACGGCATCAAAAGGTACTGGTACTACTGCTAAACGAATGTGATGTGCTGACCAAATAATCTAAATAATCTTTCAATAGGTAGTGGAGATTGCTCCAGCTCCCGCATTGTCGGAAGATGTACGAGAAAAAATACTGAACGACGCTGTACGCCTTGCCAAGCACGTCGGTTACCAAAATGCAGGTACAGTACAACTTCTCCTTCTCATGTGACTGTCCGTCTTTATATTGTTGCAACTCGTAACTCCCGTGGACCTCATTTTCGCATCTATTGAAGGGGTGATTGAAGCGAGATAAATGTAGCATCAAAGTTTGAAACAGTAGTTGCTAATTGACCTGCCATTGGAGAGGAAGGAGAAAAAACCACTGAAGTAGCCCTTAATAAGACCTTTTTGGGCGGTATTGGGGTCTGACAGACAAACGCTGTAAAAAGCACTGGGCGCCAAGGAGAGAGAACGCAAACGGAGACGAGAGAGCATAGTGGGGAGCGAAACAGCGGTCAGCGCGACACTGGGTGTGCCTGTTGCTTGATGTGACCACAGCTGCAAATGCTGAGCCTCAAAGCCCACTCTAAAAGAGGATTTTACGATAAGGACGACGATCGAACGAGGAAAAACTCAGCTAGTGGAGACGGGCGGAGCTCCTGAGGCTGAGGAACACGCAGCTCGCATCGGAATATATGGCCCCGCCAATTCAACATGGCTATCCCCGCGGCCTCATTAGCACGCTGGTGGCCGGTACGTCCCCTCTCGCGCCCTCTCTGGTCTGAGTTGCTAGCAGTTCGGCAGAGAAAGCTTTAGCGTTCGATAGGGCAACACCGCTGAGAGTCACATGAATGCGCGAATCTGGGCGAGGGAGGAGTCTAATTCTCGGGTTTCAGGCCTTCTTTCACTGTTTTTCTTCTTTACTGTGTCTCTGCTCATCTCTAAATTAATTTCCAATTGGCTGCTTTTCCATCGTAAAATCCGCTCTTAAGGCGGATTTGGTCGCGAAATTTGCCCTCTCTGTGTGTTTTTGGAACCAGCAAACTTTTTTGCTGGACGTATTTGTTCAGCGATCTCTCCCGGAATGTGCTTTTGAAGTTCTCAATCAAACTTCCCCATTCTGTTCATTTCTTCAGGTACCGTAGAGTTCTTGGTTGACCAAAAAGGCAACTACTACTTCATCGAGGTGAATGCTCGGCTACAAGTAGAGCACACCGTAACCGAGGAAATTACCGGGTAGGCGACTGTGACACTTCATTTGGCCACTGCATTTTATCGAAAACAGAAAAAAAACTATGTGTGGCCTTTAAGAGTGGACCTTGTGCAAGCTCAAATAAGAGTAGCCGAAGGAAAAACGCTAGCTGATCTCAAGCTGACTCAGGATCTTATAATACCTCATGGATCTGCTATTCAGTGTCGTGTCACCACGGAAGATCCTGCACGAGGCTTCCAGCCAGACTCAGGCAGAATAGAGGTCCGGCGACTTCCCCTTTTTTCGATAATGAATCTTAAAAGAAAAACTTCGTTAAGGTATTCCGATCTGGAGAAGGTATGGGAATTCGCCTTGATTCGGCTTCCGCATTCGCTGGCTCCATAATCTCTCCCTTCTACGACTCCCTTCTTGTGAAGGTATATATGTATAGCACTCAAGTTAGCTTAGAGCTAGTATCAAAATACTTGTGGTAACTCGAAAATGAGTCTCAATTACGAATTTTGGCGAAGCTTTCCGGAAGCCTCACGAGAGTGGAGACATAAGTTATTATAACTCCGACACAAATGCAGGGCGCTATCGCAGGTAAGGGATAGCGTTCAAAGGTGCGTAAAACAATTCATTTCTGTTGAACCCAGGAGTAAGCCCTAAAGGCGAGATTCGGGATTACATTGATGAGGTAATTTCATACAAATAAAGAAGTAAGAGTGGGAAGTGGATCGCCAGTGAGACAAAAAGGGAAAAATTGTGCTACGCTACGCTACTACTACGCTGCGGAAGTTCAAAAGCCCGCTAGGGGTATGAGAGATAATGTATGTAATCTATGAGGTGTGAGAGATGGAGAGCGGTAGAGAATCCGAGTAGAGAGACAGAGCGTGCAGGTCAACATGGCGACGCAGACAAGACATCGTGGAGAGCGGGGCGGAGCGTTACACTGGTAATAGAATCTGCCAAAGTCATTGGTCCTACCGTCTGAGTAATGCTTTTTGAAATAGGGAAGTACCCGACTCTGCACTTGCGTACGTAGCGCTCCTAGCCACGGTAAAGGCTCAATGATAGGTCTGAGTCCGAACTTGCCTTCAAGCGGGGAAAGAGAAAATCCACGGTGCATAAGCAATTTAATTGCATTTTCCCCAAAGTTCTTGCTCTGCCCGTTCGAAACCCTCTCTTGACGTCCGATGATGACCTCCTTGAGAATGGTGAGGTTCCTGGTTGTAAAGTTGCTGTAGAGCTCACGAAGAATCTTGATGTACTGAGTAGGGACGCCCTGGTTGCCCAAGGCTTCGATGACCGCTTCTGTCTCCACAGAGTCGAAGAACTTCTCAAGTCGATGATGTGAGACAAAGCAGCATTCTTGTACTCCGTAAACTTCAATGAGTCTCGCAACCGTGTGGATATGGTCGGTCGTGCTGAACCCTCTCGGAACCCTGCTTGCTCGCATGGCTGTCCTTCATCTAGTTTCTGCCGATCCTTTTAAGGATGGCTCGGACTAAGGAGCTTGTAGATTACAGGCAGCAGGCAGATTGGGCGATAGTTGGCAATGTCGTCTAAGCCTCCCTTCTTGTGCAGCAATACGGTCCTGCGGTTTTCCACGGAGTGGTACCTTGCATTCCGACAGGTAGCGCGTGAAGAGTTGACCAGAGTTTTGGTGATAACTGGCGGTGCGTCTTCAGATGTTCCGGTTTAACCCTGTCGAGACCGCGGCGCTGTATAATTCTTCACACCGACTTGATGGGCGTGTCGGACTTCGAAGAGAGAAACTGAGGGACAAACGTATCCATCCTCTTGCGGTTGATAACTAGGCAGATGGACATGGCTATCGAAGAGATCCGAGTAGAAGTCGTGAATGACTTTCTCCATTGCCCTTCGGGATGCAGCAACTGTTCCATCCGAACGTCGGAGGCAGGTCACCTTGGTCTTGTGGCTGGCAAAAGCTTCGGCGGGCATTGCGGATGCTCCTCCCAGCCTCTGCTGCTTCAGCTAACACTGGCGCTTTTCGCTCCTTGAGATCTGCAGACTCGTGCGGCTCCACGCTGGCGTATCAGTTCGAGAGTTTTCGGAGACAGACGTCCCTTGTGACTTTCAAACTCTCTGCCTCCTGCCACAGCACATGGAGATGTTCAACGAGCCGATAGTACTCCTCGTCGATGTTTTCGATGACGAATCCTCCCATTAGCTGACGAAGGAAGCGAAGTGGTCCCAGTTGATGATTTGTCCTGTGGCTTCGCTTCTGAACTTTGCTGCTCTCTCAACACGTATCGAGAAGTGGAATCTTGCGCGGAGAAGCGACCGATCCCATGTAGACACTTTGGAATAACAGCGACGTCGGTCAGGCAAAACCACCGATGAAGATGATGTGGTCTATCTCGTTAAAACTCAGACAGTCTTTCGCCCTGCTCATTCCATTCCATTCCGAGAGTACCGATGTGAAGTTCCTCAGCCGTTCTCTTGGGCCAATCTTGGCGTTGAAGTCGCCGGCAATGACCTTGAAGAATGTATGATCTTCCTTGTAGAACGTCTCCAGTTCCATATTAAATGCTTCATGTTCCTCCTTCGTCGTAGCTGGATGTTGGTGCGTAGGCGACGAAGATTGCCAAGCAGGAGTTGACACCATCATCTTATAAATCTCAAACGTCCGATTCGGGTCGTAAGGCTTTCGTACGAATCGGTGTTTATGGCCAAGTGCGTGTTGACCGAGGACACCACACCGCCAACGCCTCTGCTGTCGCAATTCAAGAACAGTTCTTCTCCAGTATCCGAAAACGGCGTGTAGCGGGCGGTGCCTCTTTTCTCGTCCAGTCCGATGACGTCATACTTGATGTTCCTGGCCTAGATCATCAGATCTTCGATGTGAGCTACGGATGCAATCGTTCGTGCGTTGAAAGTATTGAAAAGTACAAAATCGCCATCTTAGTCCTTCTTCGTTAGGCAGCCTATCCGGGCCCTGAGATTCTACAGCCTCTTCCGACGTCCTACCAAAATGCTGCGTATTGGGCTCCCTTAGGTTCAGGGGAATGAGGTCCATCCATATTGCTGTTTTTGGCATATTGAAGGCACACGAGTACCTTGCCAGACTCTGTCGTGTGGGCTAGGATAGACCTGCCAGGTAGTTAGCCACGCTATCCTGAGCGGAACAAAGGGCTTAGTTTTTGGAGGCTGCCTCGAATCGCCTCCATGTACTTCCCAGTCACTTGAATGCAAGCTTTTGGCTATGCCGACATGCGGGATACCAACCGCACACACACAGAGCGCACCAGCACACGCAAGCATGCAATGGATACACCTATATGGAGAAGCTGGTATGATTCGACAGAGCACTACAGAAACAGGGAGTCCATCCCCTGAATCCACCTGCGTCTGGGGCAAGCACATGGTGGCTTTTGGTCCGCGATTTACCCCCTATCCGCCACCTGGGGTCGCGCCACGTGCCTCGCCACCAACCGGCTCGAGATCTTTCAATGAGAGAGGACCCTCAGTGAAAGAGATCCGTGGTCTCACCGCTATGCTGCCATCAAGTGTTAATCAATAGCGCGATGGTAACAAACCCTTATGTAAGGCAATCTGGTGGAATTTCGGCTGGAGCAATGTTTTTGACCATGATTCAACATCCTTGTAATAACTTCCCAACGCGATCTGCGGAATGAGCATTAAGTTAGGATAAATATGTTCCTATTAGAGTAAAAATTTACTGCAGTATATTCACAAATACAGTTCCACTGTTTAGGTCATTGCATCCGCTCGTAATCACTAACGCGTGTCCAAAATGATTCGAGCGCTAAATGAATTCAGAATTCGCGGAGTCAAGGTGAATATCTTTCCTATTGAGGCTTTTCGTCTGAAAAGAACGCTGTTTTTGCACACAAATAATTCCTTTCCTGCTCAACGTCCTCCAACAGCCGGCATTCCTCGATGCATCCGTTGACACCTACTTTATTGACGAACACCCGAATCTTTTCGAATTTCGACGAAGTCAAAATCGTGCTCAGAAGTTGCTCAGTTTCCTGGGAGAAGTTCAGGTCTGCCTTCGTAGGGTCTTTGGTATGAGTTGGGCTGGTAGCTATTCCATTATTAGACTAACTGAACAGGTGAATGGGCCCACAACGCCTCTTGCTACGGATCTCAAGCCGGCTTATGTCGACCCAGTGGACTGCTATTCGCTCTGGTATGTTAAGGACCATTGTTCTGATGAGAGAAGAGCATGAGAATATTTTTGCAGTAATAAAATATTGCACTCCCTTTGGCGCCTTGATCAATCTCACTCTTTAATTTATCAAATGAAACAATATATGATTGAGTCGCACTGTTGCAGGATTCTCGGCGTCAACGGAAGATGAATGTAGGCACTAGTGAAGTTCATTAAATACATTTTCTAAGAAATACCTGCTTCTATGAGAACACTATTCCCTTTTATGGTAACAAAACGCGTAATCCGCACTTTTTGAGTTTCTTCTGGTTGTGTTTTCGTGTCAGGTTCTAACTTTAGAGCTGTATCAAAGGAGCGTTTACCCGTGAAATTTATCTTCACTGTTACCTTCCTTGTACCTGTGGCATGATAGTCGCGAAAAGTTCCGCAACATATCAAGCTTTGATTTGCACAAAAGCCTAGACAGCGACGTTTTCCGCCGTCCTAAAAATTGTAGTAGTTTGGAGTTTCGGAAGGATTTTTCGTTACAATTGTGTCACAGGTACAAAATATATGGTCCATTATAATTGGTCTCCTCTTCCAAGAAATTTAGATTACAGGTTCGCCACCTCCCGTAGGTCTCCGACAGGTTCTTGTCAAAGACGGTCCTGAGCATTTGCACGGCAGTAACGACGCACGTCTGGATGCATGTCACCGATACTACTTTCCGGTATCACTTTTGAAGTGTAGTTCAATTGCAGTAGGCAACTTAAAGCAAACTGAGTCCTGTCAAACATTCTAATCTGCGATGAGGATGGGGTAGCTGGCGAGTATCACAGTTTTGCCGTTTTCACTGCTTGAAGCTTCGCGACAATCACGCACATACTTTACTTGTGAGCTAATGGCAGCCTATCGTGAGCCTAATGGACGAGGAGATACCTCGCGCATATACCATGACACGCAACGTAGATTATGGCGTAGCGGCTAATCAAATCCGCGCTGGTCAGTGGAGCTATGCGCAAGCGAGCTCAGGTAACTCGTCCAGACGCGCCCTTAACTCTTCCAAGAGGGAGAAGAGGGCGCCTTGTTAAGGGTTTTCATCGGCGCTTTGCCTCTCTTCTTTTTATTTAATGTGACCTCCGTGTCCACAGTTTCATTGTCGACCACTGTTCCTCACCAATTCGATCTGGAGCTGTGCTTTAAAGGATGCCCAGGACCGAATTAGTGTGATTTTGCACATGACTGTGAAAGTAGTGGTGCGATCTGGCCGGTAAGAGCAAGCCGAAAAAGAACCGTCGAAAACGCCTAGTCGAGGGCTTTGAACAACTTCGTGAGCTGCTGTGTTAGAGTAAATAAGAAACCGAGCGCGGAGAGGAGAGTATAGTGTGAGGTTAGAGAGGCGAGAGGCGTCAGATCCAGAGCCTGCTGTGAAACGGGAATATCTGAAGCTGTTGAAGCTGTCTATGCAAGTTCTAGCGCCCTTATCCGGCCTTCCGCAGCACGGGTGCGCTCTGTTGTTCTCTAGGGGTTTTCTCCACATACCGAAGGGAATCGTACACCCGACTCCTGTCTGAGTTGTTTCCTTGGAAGAATGTGAGTGATTCATTGACAAAAAAGCGTTGGAAGAGCCTAAAGAGTGTTCTATTCGCAGAAGATGCTCATCAGTCGTTACTTGCAACTCGAGTTCGAACTACGATATGGCGAGAATAGCGCCGTTCGTCAGTCATGCATTCCAACACTTGTATTCCATGGAGAACTGGGAGGTAATAACATACAGTGATCGATGTTTTAATGTTTTTGGCACGATTGTAAGATTACTTTCATCAGGTGGCGACTTTTGACGTTTCCATGCGTTTCTCTGCACGAATGTCCATGGGAACGACTTGAGACACTTCGGCAGCTTATTCCAAAATATCCGTTCCGCATGTCTTCTAAGAGGAGCGAAACGCTGTCGGCTATAGCAACTACCCGACAACGCGTCGACAAGTTGGTATTCAACTCATATGTCTATTGCATTTATACATAGTTATCGCACTCAATGAAAAAAACCTAGTAAACAGCCTCTTTAAGGACCAGTTCAAAGTTATCGTGGAGAACGGTAAAAGATAAAGCTTTGCTGATCGGCCCCTATAGGATGCGACTTTACCCCATTACATAACGCGGCGTTTTTCACTGGCCGGCGCCTGTTCATAGTCGCCAGCGCGTGTTGCGCGACGAACAAATTTATTCATTCTTAGCTTGCACGTCTATCATATTTACACTTCGCATGTATTTTATAAATTCACAATATTTACACGTTTGTGTGTTATGACAGAAATTGATTATTATTACGCGTTTGAGGTGATGAGGTAACCAAAAGTGCGGAAGGGAATGAAAATGTATTTCGAAAAAGATAAGTAAAAAAGTCGCAAAATGTTATTTAGCCAAAGCCATTTCTGCTAATTTAAGCCTACGAAGCTGTCACAATGGGGAGAGGGGGGTTTCTACAAATTCAAAAGAAAAAATGAGAAGGTTGTGACTGATATTTTTCACAGCAAGAACAAATAATATAGCACTTGCTTCATACGGCACAGCCCCGCGTCTACATATTGTTCTCCTTGTTCGGTGCTGTATTGCCATAGGATAGAAATATGAGAAAGTGTTGAAAATTCTCTTCAACAAACCGTGTTGCACGATGTGCAGCCACATTGAGGCAAACCAGTGTACTGCACCGTGCACAACACTCAGTACGCAATGGTTAAATCCGGTTTGCCGTATACGCGACAAGAGGCCCGCCGCGCGGTAAGAAGGCAGAGTCAGGGGACGAGTCGCAGTGCATGATGTGCGATGTAGGACGTATAACGCTACATCCTATTCAAGTTGGCGAGATCACTACAGTCTCGCTTCGAGTCGTCCGTGCCTCTGCCTTCTTGTCGCGCAACAGGCCTCCTGTCGGATACCCGGTTTGGCCTATTCAATGACTTGCCGGGCCCAGTGCACGGACCGTGCACGTGAGAAACAGCGCCACTTTCTACTACATCACCTTAGCCCCTGAACTTGTCAGAGAGTAGATGCCGATACCAGTCTGCAATGCTGATGTCACGAATATCAAATCCGTAATCAAGCAGGGCAATTACCATCACGCAACTTGTGATAGTTGACATTTGCTCAGAAATCTTCCATTCGTAGAAATGACGGTCTTTCTGCCATTATTCGAAGAGCCTCAAGACATTTTGTGCGATCGCAGCGACCAAGGTGTTTAAATGACGGCTTCTTTCCAAATTCTTCTCGGATTTCAGGTTCTGTGAGTTAGCAGTGAAGTCAGGCATGGATGTGTTCCGTGTGTTTGACTGCCTCAACTATGTTCCAAATTTGGTGGTTGGCATGGAGGCGGCCGGCAAAGCTGGTGGTGTGGTGGGTGATGACAACATGAGGAACGAGCGTATAGTGTGGAGAATCTTCCTTCTCCTCCCCATTTTCTCACATTCCAGGTCGAGGCTGCAATTTCATACACTGGTGATGTGTCGGATAGAACTAGGACCCAGTACAATCTTCAGTACTACCTCGACCTAGCCGAGGAGCTTGTCAAAGCACAAGCTCATGTACTCTGCATCAAGGTACGGTATCCAAAAGTGAAGGAAGTTGGGAGGTTCAGTTTCAGTAACTCTTCGCATGGCATTCAGAAATATACAACCGCGAGTTGTTTCAGGATATGGCTGGTGTCCTGAAACCAGAAGCAGCTAAGCTTCTAGTTGGAGCATTAAGAGACAAATTTCCTGATATACCAATCCACGTACACACTCACGACACTGCTGGAGCCGGCGTCGCGTCAATGCTTGAGTGTGCCAAAGTATGTCAGCCTTATTTTGGTACCTTAGTAGTCTTTTCAACGAAACTTTCTGCAGTAGCAGCGCTCTTGAGTGAAGCTTTGTGGCATTAGATTTTGTTAAAATTAAGGCTGGAGCCGATGTTGTCGATGCGGCGGTTGACAGCATGAGCGGCATGACCAGTCAGCCAAGCATGGGAGCCATTGTTGCCAGTCTCCAAGGAACGCAGTACGACACAGGTATGCTAGCTTAGGCTCCTTACACCGCTGTAAATACTACTCAAAGGAATCTTTTTACAGGGCTCAACCTGGACGCTGTCTCAAAGTATTCTGCCTACTGGGAGTTGGCTCGCCAGCTGTACGCTCCATTCGAATGCGCTTCAACCATGTAGAGTGGTAACGCTGATGTATATAAACATGAAATTCCTGGAGGACAATACACTAACTTGCAGTTCCAGGTGAGGTCAATTCGCGTCTCTACTCAGGATCTAACTGAGTAGATAAAATTGAGTTACATGGAAAATAAGTTGACGGGAAGGAAAGCCGTTCTCCATATCTTATCCTTAAAAGGGAGGTCGTTCAGGGTGTGGGACGCTTTTTTTGAAACGGTTTTTTTGCATGCTGTAGAGGCTCTCACGTGGACTACAATACCGTGTTTCAATTTCGCCGTGCGGCCCTCTAAAGTCCAAAAATAGTCTAAAATCGAAAGTCAGTCAAGAAAATTTGTTTGGCCTATTCTGCTCGACGCGAGCAAGCAGTAGTGGTTGCCGAAAAAGGTTCTTTACCATGTGTTCACCGCATTCTACGAAGAGATTTCTTTCAATAACAAGGCGAGAAGACGACCGTGGTTGGCGGCTGATGGACAGCTGAGGGTGGCTTCGAAACCAGACATCCACGGAAACAAAGTCATGTTTCTATATGCTGATATAGTATAGCAACGGTGTATCACGGAATGCTGAATGGGGCTACGCAGTTACAGCTGAACTCTGCGTATAACCGCTCCAACACGTGGGCCGAGCTCCGCGTCGTCAAAGGGTAAATTCGGCCGATGAAAAATTATTTCACGATAATGCAAGAGACCCAGATCAGCGCAACACTCCTTAGCAGCAAACCAATTCGATGACCGTTACGGCGTCAAAATTTGAGTACCCAACTCCTTCGAGTCGAACCAGAAAAAGTTCTACGCGGCAGACATCCATGCTTTGCATAACGAAAGGTGATAGCCTGTGACATCGGTGTAGGAGATGGTTCAGGTTGATGTGCTTCATTATTGCTTTTATAATGAAAATAATTGATGATCGAAAACATTTCAATCGAGCCAACCTAATATTTCCCGTCAGATTAGGGTAGAATCTGAAAGTTATAGTTATAGATGTTCTTCATGCTGAATATGATATCTACTATTTTCGCTGGCGTTATTTGGAACAAATTTGGAAACTCTAACCTAAATGCAAAAATTTTGACATCACGAGAGATTGAACCTTGGACCAGTTCCTCACTATTTTGTGGTCTTCGCGTGGCCGCTCAGCGAAAATGGACCTCGGTTTTGTAGTCCACGCTTGACCTCTATAATATGCAGAAACCGTTTTGGAAAAGCTTTGTACACCCTGAACAACCTCGCTTTTAGTGCTAAAGAGCACTCCTTCCACTACTGTAACATTAAGGATAAGATAATACGTAACAGCTCGCACATACTGCTCAAATCTTGTCCAATTTTCTGCACCTGATAGTCCAAGTGAAGCTCCTCCACCCCTAGATCTAGTCCGCGTAGAACTTCCGCGAATTTTGTGGGAATCTTATCAAGCAAATTGGAAAAAACGTACTGGTGACGCAGGAAAAACAGGAAAAATCTTTCAAGATGAGAAGAATAAAGGAAAAGCTTAATATATGTTCCCAAAATGAGGGCTCTAAGGACCTACGCGGTGGGCTGCATGGGGTTCAAAGTGTTGAAATTGGAAAGCACGATGGAGTCCCCTCCCCCCACCTCAATTACTCCTCTTTATCTTTTTATAGTGCATTGGAGCCTAAACTAGCCAATTCTTCAAATTATGCCATCAAATACAGAAAAACATTGGAGAATATGGTGCATATTCTACTCCGCTTCCGCTTTTAGGCCTTCTCACTCGGTCTTGGTAGTCAGTTCGACGAAGTAAAACAAATGTATCGTGAGGCTAACCTCGCTCTCGGTGACATAATTAAGGTATGGTCATGCGTTTATTCTTCTGCTTGGTCACTAGGGGTACTGGTACAAATCTCTTTACAGGTAACTCCTTCATCAAAAATAGTCGGCGATCTGGCGCAGTTCATGGTCCAGAACAACCTCACACGCGAAACTTTGGTTGATCGTGCCGACGATTTGTCTTTCCCTAAAAGTGTTGTTGACTACATGCAGGTGACTTTTTTTCGAACCTTCTTTGCCAGTATTTCACAAAGGAATTTTTATCGAGAATGACAAAGTCCAAAAAGTGCACGTTGAACTTTCAGGGTAACATAGGCCAACCTCCATACGGGTTCCCAGAACCTCTACGAACAAAGGTCTTTCGTGGTAAGCCCAAGGTACGTTAGTAACAAGTATAACGTGAGCTTAACAGCTTCGAGATCCCTGTAACTGCATAAAATTAAAATTTTAGGTGAAAGGAAGAGCTGGTGAAAGCTTGCCACCTATGGATTTCGAGAAAGTGAAGAAAGAGTTGGAAAAAAAAAGAAAAGTGATAACATTAAAAGAATACCAACGCTCAGGAGCCAGAATTTGTCATCACCGAAATCCCTAGGCCACCTCGAACACGACGCTAATGCGTCGACAATCCAACTGACTGTAGACGTCGGGGATGAATCCCCCTAGTCGAGACTAGGGGGATTCATCCCCGACGAATCCTCCCCGACGACCCTATGCAACAAGCCCCGAAGGTCGTCGGGGATATGCCCCCGACGATTCGTCGGGGCTTGTTGCATACGACTTCGGGGATATGTCCCCGACGATCGTCGGGGCTTGTTGCATACGACTTCGGGGATATGTCCCCGACGATCGTCGGGGCTTGTTGCATACGACTTCGGGGATATGTCCCCGACGATCGTCGGGGCT